AAAAAAAACGTTTTTTTTTTAATCTCAAATTTGGTAACGAATTTCAATATGACCCTGAGGCAAAAGTGTTTCAGTTTATTTTTCTGCATAACATTTTTTTTTTCAGATTTTTTTGATTTTTTTTTTTTGATTTTTTTCCGTACGTACGGCCCGTACGACCACATGAGCCCGTAAGTACGGTCGTACGTGCGTACGTACGAACCCGTGTTCGTACGGGGGTATAAATTGGTAGGCAGCGATCGTATTGGTCGAGCCTACACGTGCATGCACGGGACCTGTTCTTCGATCAGATGGGTGAAAGCCAACGGTTTGCGGGATGGATCGTCCTATATTAGAACGGACATCTAATCGTCTAGCATGCACATCTAATCTATACAAAGACAAAATTGCACCTAACATCCAAGCATCTAGCTTACATATCAAAATGAGGAATCGAGGACCCTTATGCAACATTTTTTTGGTCAATCATCCCAGAAATCACACAAGACTCGATCGCGAGTAATCGATCAATCAGATTTGTCGATTCAAAAAGATAGAGAAGGGGAGTGGGAGAAGACAGCCACACATCAATCTCTGAGAAAAAACAAACAAAATTTGAGACACGGATCCAAAAGGACAAGGGCGACTTACGCCGTATATCAAAAATTGTTTGGAAGAATAGGAGAAAAACCAAAACTACTTCGGGGGAATAGAGGAGAAACTTCACCACACACTTCACGTCTCTCTCTCTCTCTCTCTCTCTCTCTCTCTCTCTCTCTCTCTCTCTCTCTCTCTCTCTCTCTCTACATAATCCCGATGCGGGCAGTCCATCGCCTCGCACCCACTCAGAGTTGTCACCCCGCTTGATCCGAGCATGCAAGTCAAGTTCGCCCGTGCGCCACAGTCCGTCGCGGCCCCACGTCAACCCCGCATGCCCAGCACCAGCTCGTCGGATCGCCCAACTCTCGACTCACCTTCCAACTCTTGCTTGTTAGTCGATCCTCTCGACCACGCTAACTCCCTAAATTCTTAGAGAACAAGTTAATTGCGGTTGTGAAATTTATAGCATGCATGCTTGTGCGAGATACCCGGGGTTGTGCCTAGAAAAAAAAGGAGAAGGAAGGAAGGAAGTGCCTACGTCTGCATGACCAGGCCGCGACGTGTGGGATGTGGCCTCACTCTGCACATCGATCCAGTCATGCAAGTGTTCAGGCCAATAGGAAAGAGGAAGAAGTTTGTGCGCATAGGGACACCATCAAAAATATTAAGAACAGGAGGATGACAGTTGCAATTATGCCCGCCAGAACACAGATCTTGACGAGGCAACGTGTGCACAAGCAAGAAGCGCCATGCAGTAGAAATGTATATGCACCTAAATTCCTATTCTGAATCCTAATTGCAAAAAAAAATTTCAAACGAAGCAAATTCCGAAAGCCCACGGGGGCTCAACATCAGTTGAAAATTCAAAAAGATTTTCCCGTACGACGATCTTGCCAAAATTCTCATTTCCCACAGCAGAACAGAAAAAAAGCTATGGCAACAGTTATCTTTCGCGCTCACTAGGGCACAATCGGCTAACAACCCTCACAAGATTACCCCGGCCTCGATTCCGAAAAACAAGAAAAGCAAGAGCACCCATGTAATCCTGCGGGCCCTCCTGATTTAACCCCCGAAGTAGCCTTGCGCAGAGAGTCGCGCTGCTGCAGAAAACAGTTCGTCACAGGGCCGGTAAAACCTGCTGTGCAAAAATGGCGCAAGCCCCAAAATGACTTTTGGTGTCATTTTCGCACCATCGGTGGGCCAGTAAAACCTGTTGTGCAAAAATGGCTGGATACTGTTTTACAATGTGCAAAAATGACAAAAAAAGTCATTTTGGGGCCTCTGCAACACTTTTCGCACGCTTTTGGGGAAAATGAATACAAAGTTTCCTCGCCCGGGGAATTTATAACTTTTCACAAAAACAGCCCAGGTTGCACCGCTGCATATGGATTAGTGTGACGGGTGTGGGACAGGTGGGGGACAGGTGGGCAGCACTGTGAAATAGGGAAAATAAATGCAAAAAAACATTTCATTGCCAAACAAATGAAGAAAAAAAAGCTGAAAAATAAAAGAATGTGCTCTTCTCAAAGATGGTGTCAGCTCCAGGTGGGGTGTCAGATGTCAGGGTATGATTCACTGACCATGGCTGTTGCTGTCAAGACGACTGCATGTGAGCAAGCACGCGGACCAATACGCTGCGAAATCATTTCGTCGAGTAGTTTGCTGTTTACAGCCACGATATTCGGGAGTCTTGTCCTTTGTTGTTTCCAGAATGATTTTCTCCGCCCGTCATTCCGATCTCCTGCCAGACCCTCTGAAATGATTTTAACCCACCCCTTCCAACAGTCCCTATTGCTCACAGAAAACTCCTCAGCCGTCTTAAAAAATACCTTCCGAGGGAACCCTTTTTCCCTAAGCTCCCTCCTCAAAGAGAGCAAAAACATACCCACTCCTCTGCAATCTGAGGAGTGGTTTTGTTTTCTTTTAAATRTCSACCGTGGCCGAGCATCTGGGGCGTGGCCACGACCGAGATGCCTTGGCAACGCCAGCGGAAAAAAAAAAAAAAAAAARKGGCCGAGGCATCTCGGCCATGGCCACGGCCATGATGCCTCGGCCACGGCCATGCAAAAAAAAAAAAAAAAAAAAAAAAACCAACAACAACAACAACAACAACAACGCTGCGCTTGAGTACCTGAGGCCCGAACGCTGAGTGCCTAAGTACCTGAGGCCAGAGGCCTACGGGTTCTTTGCTGTGAAACTTGGCAAAAAGCGACATTTTTGCTGGCAAACTACGGGTCGAACTTCCCGGTAAAGTTGCAACGAAACCTCTATTTTTGCAAAGGAAACTTGGAAAGGACAACGTTTTCGCTGCCAAACTTGGAAAAACCAGTATTTTTGCAATTAACCCTCATAATTTTGCTTTCTACATGAGCACGGTAGAGTTGAGCGGTGTCGAGCGCACAGTCCCAACAAACGAGGGGACCTTCTCGGCCGCGTCACGCAGGATTTGGCAGGACTTTTAGTCGTGGAGCGTTGCCGCTCCGGCCGAGTGCGCCAGCCATGCCTCTCGCGAACCCGTACGACAGGATAGGGTCACGCGAGGTACAACTTACCTCCACCTGCGGGAGCTGTCACCATCCCTTAGGTGGGCGTATCCCCGCCGAGCTACCAGTCCACAGTACGAAAACTTTTACATGCAATCGCAGAGGTGGACCAGCTGATGGCGTTTTCTCGTACACTGTAGCATAGGGGGTACGCGCGGTTCCACAGCTTTATCGGCCCGTACGCAAGCCGGCTCACTGGGGGGCTGAAGTCCCAAGCGCGACTCGTCGTCGGTCGACTAGGACGCATCCTTCTTACCACGCGTTACACCACGCCAGAATAAAAGTAAGATCAATCATACAAAACAAAAATACTCCTAGTCCCTTTAGTGTCCAACCCATAACCTTCTCATACGGAAATCGGTTAGGTATTGCACGCGTGTCTTAATATAAAACCGCGCGGATGCAAGGCTTTCTCATATCACTTAAGCCATGCAAGCATTCACAAGCGGTCACAATGATGTTGTACTATGTAGTACCCATAGTCGCGTGGTCCTCGATAGTCTCGAGGGTCGCGTTCAACACTCAAGTGTCGGCTGACACGCGCGTTGAGGGGTTAATCTCTCGACGCTAGACAACCGCCAAGGCGGTTGAGAACCACAACCTCTTCTGCACCCTGCGGAGAGTGGGTGGTACATAGGTTCTGGCCTGTGGTGGCAGTCAACCCTTATGGCCATGAAGCCAAGCTCCATCATCCAGGGCCTGGAGAGAAGTCAATGGGTTTGACGTTGACGACTGCCACGGACATCACCGTCCAACTATGAAAATCAACAAGCAAAATCACGCAGTAAATAAATAAGCATCCCAATACCCATATATCAAATTTGAACTCGAGATAAGATAAAGGGGGGGAAAGGTAAACCCATCAGATATGCAGATCGTGYGACGCATGGTTGTCATTCTCACTGCCTCCAAGGTAAGACTCGAGTACCAAGCTTCAAGATACTAACCTGTATAAAACACAAATACATACGAAAGCCACATTGYCATACACCAATGTGGTCAACTTTYACTGTTCCYTGTAACTCACACCATGCCTCACACACTCAGACACGAACCATTTTTCAACTTTCCATAAAAAGTCATCAGTTCTTTATAATGGTCATTAAAAGAAGTCTGGTTAAAACCTTCAAAGAAACATATCAAATCTCTGGGTTAAGGCATTCAAGTTGAGGTACAGGTGTGAACAAAGTTGTGTCGTGAGCCGACGAGTTGACGCTCAACCAACCGACATGTTATCAAAGATAACAGAAGACGACCCTCGTAGGATCGAGTTGAACTAGTCAGATCTTGAATAAAAAACGATCAAGAAAGACCTGTTACACAACACAGGCCAAATCCCAAATACTTGAACTTTAAGTGTACGGAGAATAAATCCCTATATCACATCTTACTCAAAATCTTGTAAGACTAGATCTATAATTGATCTCCCCAATGGACCTTAAAGAATAAGGAAAATTCTGGCAGCATTTCCCCTATACAGGGTGAATTGTCAATAATTCTCCTACCAGAATATAATCTAACTCTTCAAAACTAGGAAAATTTCGGCAGCGCTTCCCGTAGAAAATTGTCTTTTTAGAATTTATATGAAACTTAAATATCAAATTCAGAAATAACTCTAACTTTTCAAAGTCAAATTTTGTCCAACTCCCTGATTTAGTAAAAATTTGGGCAGCACCTCCCCTAGAAAAGTAGGTTTCCCATATTTTAACTAAGCCAGATATAAACTCAACCAAACTTGAATTGTGAAAGTCAAAATTTGACAAACTCCTTAGTTTTTTAGAAATTTCGGCAGCGCTTCCCGTAAGAAAAGTAGCTACCCAAAATTTATACAGAGCCAAGTAAACTAAAAGATCCCTGAAAATGCGAGAACTTGATCTAAGTAAAATAAACTTAACTCAGAAAATGCAGGAATTGAACTAGCTCCTATAGCTCCAGCACGTCGCGAGCACTCACAGACTACCCTATTAAGCAGCATAAATAGACATAAACAAAAGACAAGACTTAGCTAACAATTATGTCATGTCAACAACTCTTTCAACCAGTTCAAAACAAGGGTTCGTTCACTCAAAGTGTTCATCTTTTGCTTGTCCTGATCACAGAAACATTAGTCCCGTATCTTACTTTGTTGATTATCTTTCAAAGTTGTTCTCAGTCAACCCCATGCAATCTGACAGACTTACCAAGGTGACCGAATCAGTCAGAATGACCTCATCTTCAGCCCCAATTCAAGGTCTTAGGCAAAAAGAGCAAGGCGACCGGATCAGTATGGAGGACCTCATTTCCAGCCCCAGTTCACCCTGGGCTTGAGCGCTTCGGCGCCGGCCCCCTCTTCGTCACCAGTTTCGCTTTGTCTTTCTGTTTGTTTGTTTGTTTGTTTGTTTGTTTGTTTGTTTTTTTTTTTTTTTTTTTACCTGTTTGTTTTACCTGCATCTCAGTTGGGGGCTGGTCCCCATGGGCGTGGCCCCACGAATTTGGTTGGTTCAGACCGGGGCCGTGGTGCCACCAGCAAAGAGGATCGGATCGAATGCCTGAATCTGGACGTGTTTGTCAAGAGGTGCAGGAAATCGAGATTGAACTGCTTTTCTGCATCTCTGCATAAAACACGTCCACATTCAGGCATTCGATCCGATCCTCTTTGCTAAAGGGACGATCCAACGGCCTCTAATCTCTTCTACATCCTGGACCAGATCTGCTCGACGGACGGACAGATGACGAAGTCAATCAGACGCCTTTTGTCGTTTTACGCATCTGTCTTGGGCGCGCAAGCAGTGGAGGACGGTAGGCTTATAAGCACCTGGTGGGACGGGTCGGAGGGGACGGGACCGCAGGTTATGAGGGCCACGTGCCAAGACCATAACTGCACTTTGTACATGGATCTCGTCAGTGGGATGGCTCTGTCGAAGTCCGGATCTCAGCTCATCGTGTCAGGATACCGTTCTGCAACTCCGCTCGGATCTTGGCTTACCACCCTCAATACCGAGACCGGGGAGAGGACAAAGGACAAGGAAGAGCAATTCCTAGCAGAGGTGCAAATGCTCAGCCGCGTACATCATGTCCATGTGTGTGGCTTGATTGGCGTCTGCCGATATGGTAGTATGTGGTTCTTGGTTTATCCTTACTTGGAGGGTGGGAGTTTGTACGACCGGCTGCATCAACGGGTCGAAGATCGAACAAGAGAAGCACAAGGAGGGAGAGGCACAAGAGAAGTACCGGAAGAAGGAGGTGGAGGAGGAGCCGTGGTAGCGCCAGACGAAGAGCTAGGAGGGTCCGAAAGTGCGAAAGCAGGAGGGGAAGCGGAAAGAGGGCCTGGAGCAGAGGGAGGAGGGGTCACACAAGAAGGAGAGAAACGGAGTGAAAGCGAATCATTCCACGCAGACGAGGAAGACATACCAACCGAAGGAGAAGAAGATGAAGGAGAGGGTGGAGATTCTGGAGAAGAGTCAGATATGCCAGCGAAAGTCGAAGCAGTAGCAAGGTGACACCTGTCGGCTTTCTCGTGCCTATGCGGCAATCAGAAACGGTCAATGGCCGCCGCAGAAGCAGAAGAAGAAGGCCAGCACAACCGGCTCGCTCGTCCTCTTACCCTGATAGAGCGTGTTGTGGTTGCTGAACAGATAGCGAAGGCTCTTCGTTACCTTCATTTCGGAGCTAACCCACCACTCATCCATCGTGATGTAAAGAGTCGAAACTTGTTGTTGGGAGAGGGGGGTGGTACGGAGCTGAAGGCATTCTTAGCTGATTTCGGTCTCGCCAAAGTTATGGAGGACAGGCAACGATCAAGAAGCCACGCTGCAGTCCCGCAAGCAACCCGTCCCGGGACGCGGGGCTACGTTGCCCCCGAGTATGCCAAAGGAGGGAAGCTGACGAGGGAGATAGACGTGTACTCTTTTGAAGTTGTCCTCTTGGAACTGCTTACTGGCAGAAGCGTGTTAATTCGTGGTGAGGGAGACAAGAATGTAACCCTAGTTAAGCAGATGCGCAATCACCTAGCCGAGCTAGATACCGTCGATCTGAAGGATGTCGTGGATCCTTCCATTAGAGGGGAAATGGATGATGTTGTAATGAGGGAAATCACAAGAGAGATGTTTGGTGTGGTTGCTGATTGTGTTAATCTCGATGACAAGTTGCGGCCAATCAGCAAGGAGGTAGCTTCCAAGATGGAGGAAATTTTGAAAACGGCCGAAGTAACTCTCAAGGAACCGCGGTTATACACCGGTCAGCCATCGACTGCTTAGGAGTTCACAATGCTTGGTTGTGTTGCCATGAATGACCTACCTCTTGGGTGAGGAAAGGTAACGGTGCCAAACGGATTACCCCTGGTTGGCCGTTAGGTCATCCGATTGTTCACATTGATCGGTCGTTGGATAATCAGCTTACAGTGGTTGCTTGTAGTGCCGAGTATCACCCGCCCCCACTGTGCAGAGGTAACGGTGTCTAACGGATATGCCTCGGTTGTCCGTTAGGTCATCCGCTTAGAGTGAAGGGCATTACTGTTAGGATCACCCACCCATCTGTCTGAAGGAAACGGTCGGTGAGGGATTTCTTGCCTAGAAAACAATTGTGCAATGGCTTTGCCGCTGATTGTAGTAGGGCGATGGCTATAGCACTGGCTGGTGTGCCGGGTATCCTTTATCGAGTGCCATCTCATTAGATAATTGTACCATATTTCCACGGTCAGATCATGACGAATACAGTGGAGAAGGGAAAACAGTTTCTTTTATGTGTGTGTGTGTGTGTGTGTGTGTGTGTGTGTGTGTGTGTGTGTGTGTGTGTGTGTGTGTGTGTGTGTGTGTGTGTGTGTGT